TTTCCACATACATAATTGAGGCCCGGGAATTGTCCGGGTCAGCCCATGTCGGAGTTTGAATTTCGTATCCATCCATCAGTGATTCTTATCTTCACATCTTCACATCTTTCACTTGCATTGCCAGCGCCATAGTCCTGTATTAGCCATGCTGCAACTCCTGCATCCACTTCTGGCACTCTGAATGCCGGAAGCCATTACCGACCCCTGAAGCTGAGCCTTGGAACTATTTCCTGCACATTGGCAATGGCTGGATCGCGGGTCCGTGCATGCATCTCTCAATATCAGACGGAAGCTGCCAACAATGGTCTATCTTCTGACCGGATAAAGTATTTTAAAGCCGGGCTGCAATGGGAGATGAATGTATGTTACCACTGCCCTGATGACTTTGTTGGTCAATGCTAAAAATTTGAGCAGACTTTTGTCACACCACTCCTGCAGTACTCAGCTTCACAGAATATCGTGTCGGTTCTTCCGGTCCCTGTCGCTTATATCCTTAAGTTGTATCCCATGCTAACCTGGAACACGGTTCCGGACGACGTCTTTCATTCCACCTCCTTTCATTTGATGATGAGGCAATTGCAGGACATCCGTCCCGGATTGTGTTTGCATATACATGTCCATGGTGGATGGGAAACACCACAATCCCGGATCAACCATGGCAGTGGGATGAAATAATGGCTTCCTGCGTCTCTCCACTACCAGTATTGGGCGGTAAGATGTTAGCTGAATTGCCTTGATTGATGACTTATCTGTTCTAGCTTAATGTTGAGGATGATGCTTTGGTTCTTCCAGAGAAGTTGAGAAACACTTCGACTCCACCACTTATGGGACTGAGGTGGATTAAAGAACGCATGGAAGCATTGATGGAGGAGCAAGATGAGGGCATCAAAGCCAAGATGGCAGAGGTGAAGATGTACACTGACATGTTAGAGAAATTGAGGAAAGGCAAAGGAGTGTAGTCCCATTCAGTGTTCATTGTATACAAGATGTAAAATATTCTATGCATTCAAAAATCTTGCACCCGAGTCCCGGAAGCCCAGGTCCCGAGTCCCGAATTTCGGAGTTCGGGGTTCGGCGACCCGGAGCTCGGCAACTGTGTTGGGTGTCAGGGTATGCGGAGCATTGGAGATAGCATGTGTCAGTATTTTGCGTTTCATGGTTCATGTTTGGCTGACACATGCGATCTCCAATGCTCCGGATACCCTGACACCCAACACAGTTGCCGAGCTCCGGGTCACCGAACCCCGAACTCCGAAATTCGGGACTCGGGACTCGGGTTTCGGGACTCGGGACCTGGGTTTTGGGACTCGGGACTCGGAGCTCGTGACCTGGGACTCGACAGTGTTCTGAATACCGAGTCCCTGACGCCCGATTCTATAATCACGAAAGATTCCATAATCACGAAAGATGAACCATGAAACGCAGAATACTGACACATGCTATCTCCAATGCTCCGGATACCCTGACACCCAACACAGTTGCCGAGCTCCGGGTCACCGAGTCCCGAAGCCCCGAGTCCCGAATTTCGGAGTTCGGGGTTCGGCAACCGGAGCTCGGCAACTGTGTTGGGTGTCAGGGTATGCGGAGCATTGGAGATAGCATGTGTCAGTATTTGCATTTCATGGTTCATGTTTTGGCTGACACATGCGATCTCAATGTTCCGGATACCCTGACACCCAACACAGTTGCCGAGCTCCGGGTTGCGAACCCCCCCCCCCCGAACTCCGAAATTCGGGACTCGGGACCTGGGTTTCGGGACTCGGGACTCGGAGCTCGTGACCTGGGACTCGACAGTGTTCTAAATACCGAGTCCCTGACGCCGATTCTATAATCACGAAAGATTCCATAATCACGAAAGATGAACCATGAAACGCAGAATACTGACACTGCTATCTCCAATGCTCCGGATACCCTGACACCCCAACACAGTTGCCGAGCTCCGGGTCACCGAGTCCCGAAGCCCTGAGTCCCGAGTCCCGAATTTCGGAGTTCGGGGTTGGTGACCCGGAGCTCGGCAACTGTGTTGGGTGTCAGGGTATCCGGAACATTGGAGATCGCATGTGTCAGCCAAACATGAACCATGAAATGCAAAATACTGACACATGCTATCTCCAATGCTCCGCATACCCTGACACCCAACACAGTTGCCGAGCTCCGGGTTGCCGAACCCCGAACTCCGAAATTCGGGACTCGGGACCTGGGCTTCCGGGACTCGGTATTCAGAACAGTGTCGAGTCCCGAGTTCACAATGTCGGGGTTCAGGGTTTTGTCAAATGTGTACGGCAATAACAAATGTTAATTTGAGCATATTGATACATCTTCCCCCAGTCTCAAATATCAAGTGCTGAGGTCCGGGTGTCGGGACTCAGTACCCCGGCACTCGGGACTCCCATATGTCAAGTCCCGAGTTCCGATTATCGAATACCGAGGCTCGCATCCAAATTATTCAGTCCCATATATCACTTCGCAAATGCTCACAATTGAGTATTGAGGTCCAGATAACTATTGGTACATGGTATTCATTTGTTGGAATGTATATAGGTCACAATGCATGCTCTTTGTTTGATCTTTCACACACTGTATGGACCATCCACACTAGCCCATCCACATGATGGAACACCAGCGTAAATGTGAACAGAATCCCTCATATACCATGCCCAAGCAATCCGATCCCCTTCCACATCATAAACTCCATGTCTCACAATCCTTCCGGAAAACGCAATCATACAGCCGGAATTGTACTTGAACTCCAGCTGAAGGCTTGGCATTGTCATCCGAGCATTAGAATAGTTCCCCACGGTGGTGAGAATGTCGAAGCATTCAGCAATGGACAAATGGTCTCGATGATTTGGGGTTTCCCGATTGGAAATGATGGAGAGGGTGTTAAACACCGATGCCCAGTACTGCAGGGCCTCCGGCATCTGTGGCAGATCCTTGCTTACTGCTATATGTCCTAGGTTTGACAAGGTTCGCAACCCTGCCCAGTACTGCTCAGGATGCATGACTCTGAGTGCCGCGGACGCGATGGCTGCTGGCCTTGAAATGGCTTTGAGGATATTCTCGCAGGAAGGTCCCTTCAATGATGCAGATACCTCCGGATCGGACACATTCTTTGGGATTGGTGAGTATGACTGCCGGAATCACCATCTCATCAGATCCTACCTCGTGTCCCTGTTGAAACCATGCCGGAGATAAATTGATGCATCCGGGAGTTGCCCCAACATCTTCCGAGCCCCGGTTGAACCACTTTTGATTAGTTCGCCAATTGCCATCAGCCCTTACACTTTTTTCGAGGCTTGGAGCGAGCAAATTGGTGGCTTCCCTGATTTCCTTCTGTAGGTTCCATTTGATATTCAATATCCATTGAGTAACAATGTATATTACACACCTGGGTGGTGTCGGTCAGGGCGTCTGGGAGGTACCATGCGATGATGGCACCGGATGCATCGAGAATTGTGGCAGGTTCGTCGACCAACCTTTTGCCTTCATGGCCAGGAGGACACCTCTCAAGCAACCTAGCCTCTCTCTGTTCATTATGCCCGGTGTCCTTCGGGGAGATCAATTTGCTATATCTTGCAATATCCACCTGCATCTGAACTGTCATGCAGGAATTTGAATGATAAAACGAATTTTCCGAATCTGCAGGAAGACCCACTGGGATTTTTATATGCCTTTATGAGTACATCAGCCAAGCGATCGCACGCCATCACCAGATCAGTGTCTAGGTTGGGGGAAGGTATGACTGGGCCTCCTCCAGTCTTCTCTGCCTTGAATTTCTGTTCGGTATATTCCCCTGCTTCATAAGTCACAGTCAGGGCCCAAGTGCGCCAGATGTTTATACTATCAGGAGTGGAAGGGGAAGAACCGTTCATGCTGGATGTTAATCTTGGGAAATCAGACACTGAATGCTGAATGTCCGGACTTTGGTGTTAAAGGGGGTGGAGATAGAGAGGATCAGATAAGGGAGCCTGAGATAATTTTGGCTGTCAAAGATGTATTATTATCCATTGCTCAATGAAATACTACCTGATTGGAAGTGTGCTGGTCATCAGATATTCATTTGTCGACTCCCGGGTCCCGGAACTCGGAAGTCGGTACGGTTGACCCAAATTTGGGTGGTCGGAACTTGGCTTCTTGTAGGGAAACACAAGCCTCGCACCCCGGATTCCAAATTCTGCAAGACAACCTGTGCACCATCAAAGGCCATGTCAGGAGATCACCTGCTGCTCCGGGAACTCGGTAACTTTGATTTATTACCTCCTCTGAGTACGGTTGACTCACATTTTGGTGGTCGGAACTTGGCTTCTCGTAGGGCAACACAAGCTTCGCACCCCGGATTCCACATTCTGCAAGACAACCTACGCACCATCAAAGGCCATGTCAAGAGAGCACCTGCTGCTCTCTTCAGAAACATCTCAACTTCGGTTGGCCATTTAACACGGAAAGTATTAACTAAATTATGTGTTGAGTTCCGGGTCCCGGAACTCGGAGCTCGGTACAGTTGACTCAAATTCTGGTGGTCGGAACTTGGCTTCTCGTAGGGCAACACAAGCTTCGCACCCCGGATTCCACATTCTGCAAGACAACCTGTGCACCATCAAAGGCCATGTCAGGAGATCACCTGCTGCTCCGGGAACTTGGTAACTTTGAGTTATTACCTCCTCTGATTTGGTTGATGTACAACTACCTCAGCTCCATTATGTCTACAATTATGATACACATGGGCCCACCCATCTATATTTTATACCACCCTCGGCCCACCCGTCTAATACAACATCCCATACAACACCCTCGGCCCACCCGTCTAATTAATATGCGTCTGGGCCCACCCGTCTAATACGATATTTTATAATACCCTCGGCCCACCCGTCTAATTTAATATGTGTCTGGGCCCACCCGTGAATGTGATAACAAGTACCTACCCATCTATCTCATACACATCTACCTTAATACACCCATCTGCATAATATCCAACTACCTCGGCCCACCCGTCTACCTAATATTCATGTACATCGGCCCACTCATCTACTCTATATATTCCCTGCATGGGCCCACCCGTCTCCATCGGGAATAATTTGCCTCCCGGCCCATCCGTCATAGTCGAGGATATTTTTATCATGGGCCCATGGTCCGCTGGCCCGTATCATACGGGATATTATGCATGTCCGTTCCCTCGTATTATACGGAGATAGGTCACTGTAATATGTGACCGTGACATTGGTGAACGGACTTGTCTGCCTGGTTGAGAAACTTCGGCAGGAGCGGGTCATTGCCAATCCATCATTCCCGCCGCCAATGCTCAGCCATGGCAACAAGTCCTCCGCCACCGCATTTGGTATGAGGTACATGAACAGCGTGTTCGGCCCTTCGGCTGCTCCCACCTCTCTTTCTGCTGGAGTCGGTCAAACCTCAGCCTCCTGCCCTCCTGGTTGTCCCAACACGCAGGGTGACACTTTCACATCCAAATAAGTGTGCCGGCGGATTATATAGTTGTTCCATAGATCATGTGTTGGTCAGCTCATCATTCCTGTAAATCACTTGGTTCTGTATCTCATTGTTTTGGCATTGATTCGATTATAAATTGACTCTGGTGACATTGAAATGTTGGCACCATTTGATCTTGATCGGGTTTGCAGTTGGCGCGGCACAGTATACTTCGGTTTGTTCAGATGTAACTCGGTCATACTTGTGACCGACCGGCCTGTCGGCAGAATTCATCTTGGTTGTTTCATTGAGTTGGTTTGACCTATTGATTCTGCATGTGACCGATCCCATGTTCCATATGATTTGCATATCATATCAGCAAAACCAGTGCATATGTCTCGGCCAATTGTTTTTTCGACCGATTAAGTACACTTGGTGGCCCTTGTTACGCTGCAAGGCGGCTGTTTACTCCAGTTCCTGGCATATCATTATACATTATGTTTGACCAAGCATATTCTGACTGGTTGTCATGGCAAGTATATGATGACTGATGGTCTATGAACAACTTATTGACCGATCAATCCATCCGTAATATTTGACCGAGGTGGTCCTGGCAGGTGTATTGTGGAAGCTGGTATGTAAACACGGACCAATTGATCGACCTGTGTCCATGATCCTTCTGTATACTTAGAATCTCGGCCCATCTGTATATATCAGCACCACCGCCCACTCGGCCCGCTTGTTCATATCAGACACATACTTCATACACTACCTACCAAAAGTCAATAGAAAAGTCTACACTTATCTACTATACTACATACCATGGGCCCACTGTTTGTATTAGATAAACACTTGACATCAGCCCACCTGTATTTAACATGGCAATACATTGATGGGCCCACATGGGATGGCCCGTGTAGAACAGGGATATTTCAACCTCGGCTGTACGTATTATACGAGGGTAAAGTGACTGCAGTATGTGCTTCTTAATAGTTTTCTCCACCTTACCAGTTCTGTTCACAACACTCAGTCAGTATAATCATTGAACGCCTGACGTCCGAGTCATGTCCTCTGCCGGTGAGACTGGCACGTCGTCTACTCCTCCACGTGCTAATGTACCAGTTTATGGTTCTAGTACAATTGATTCCATTCAACACGACATCGAGCAGGCTAAGGAATGCAAGGCAGATGCCATGCTGCAAGCCCTCCTTCAGCGTGCTTCTTCCGCTCCCGAGACTAAACAGCCCGAGCTCCTGCAAAAGTGTCTCAAGGCAGTTCTGCCGGTTTGCAATGGACAGGCCTCCACTGCTCTCGTAGTAAAGTCATCTGATGTCGAGACAGCTCTCAAGGAATAGTGAGTGGTTGTTCTAAATACACTGATTGGGAGTTTTCATGATTATAAGTTATAACGATTGAAAGTATATGTCCAGGAGTTGAACACAACTTTTACAGCCCTTTTGTTAAGACCGTGCACAAAGGGTAGAACTGATTCCGAGGGGCTTGGCTTCAGCTCGTGCGCTGCGCCCCTTACCCGAGTATGTGCCCTTAATTTCAGAATGATGTCCGAAGAAAGTCCAAGGACGTCCGAAGCGCGGGAAAGTTCGGAAGGACTTTCCGGACAAGTGCAAGTAACTTCCGGACAAGTGCGGGAAAGTTCCGGAGGAACTTCCGGAAATTATGATGAGGTTTCGTCCTGATACGGATACGTGTAATGGCTACTTAGGACAAGTCCTAAGTAGAAGCAAACAGAGGAAAGGCTGCAAGGACAAAGTCCGAAGCAGAATAGGTCCGGAGGACCGCGGGAAAGTTTCGGACGAACGTCCGGAAACTTCGGAGGATCGGATGAGCGGATAAGCGGATGAGCGGATAAGCGGATAAGCGGATAAGCGGATAAGCGGAGCTCTGGCCTAGGGAATTTCTCCCTAGGCCCGAGATGGATATTGACTAAGTCGATAGACTAGAACTGATATGAGGACTTAGAGTGATATCTAGTGCGAGGACTAATATGATATTCAGACTGAGGAACTACAGGACATATACAAGAGTTTATATACTAAGGAAATAACGGAAAGATCAGTAAGCAAGCGTCCAAGGTGTCACGAGTACCTCATACGAACCATTATTCTTTTCTGAACTCTAAGTCCTATAAGCGCCCTGATAAAGCGCCTGTTCATAAGAATGTATTTACGGTTGAAGATGTAGAAGAGGATGCACCTGTGGTTGCGTCTATTGTAGAATTACCTAACGAACACGAGGTTGAGTCACGTGACTTATCGGAATATGCCGGACTAAACTTTATACCACGTGAACCTGATGCGATGTTCCAGAACCTGTCGGTTGCTGCGGCACGTGTTATGACATCATAGGTTATATATAGAATCGTACGATACCGTTTCCTATTATTTGATTGGTAGTTAGTTTGAACTCAGTTTCAGTCTCCGACTTAATATATGTATATAGGTAACTAGTTTGTAGTCGGTAGTTCTTTAGTTCAAACCTCTTGTCTGTACATTACTTGTACCAGCCCAGACGTACCTGCTCAATTCTATCTTCTTTTGTTTGGTTTATCTTGTGTTTGAGTCCTAGTCTCTGCCCAGCGTTAATTCGTTATTGGGTTGTGACACAAGGCTATGTATGAAGCATAAGCAAAGTTATCAAGCGCGAGTCGGAAATGAAGCATAGGTTAACGGATCAGTAAGCGTACCGGTAGTAAGTATAACCGAGATACCGAGGACAAGGAATACCGAATAGAGGAATAGGCTGTGTCAACGTTATATGCACAGGAAATGAATTAGGAAGCTTATCGTATATCGGATCGGATCGGACCGGACCGGACGTCCGGATGAGAAGCGTGGATATACAGGATATGATATTAGGGCAATAGGACAAAGGATGAATGATGCAGGCTAGCTGCAGAGGTATGGAGGTGTGATGTACAGAGGTAAAGGGATCTGGACATGGATGCGCGGATGTGGATGTGCAGAGGTGCAGGGATCCGGATGGGTAGAGGACTGGAGACATGGATAGGGCGTCCGAAGGTCCGGATGAGGCGTGGGAATATTGTCGGATGTAGGTCCGGAATACAGGATATGACACCTTTCATAAGAGCCACTAATATCGCTCTCGCGTGTCTTGAAGAGATCAAGGTTGATGGGATGCGTGCCCCTGTCTCCGCCGTGGACATGATCTGTCAGCAGAACGATATGCCTATGCACCAAACCCATCAGACCGCGGAATCAATTCGGAAGCCCTACCTTGTCATTCTCCCTTTGAACAGCGCATGCGCTCCCTTCCAGGATGAGAAGGGCGGCAAGAAGGGGAAAGAGGAGGAGGAACAGGAGGAGGACGAGAAGTGCAAAAGGAAGCGCAAGGCTCACATGGACACAAATGCAATGGCAAAGCCAAAGAATCTCCCCTGGAAAGATGTTCTAGTTTGCATCGAGTTCAAGAGAAAGATGCCAGGGAGGACGAAAGGGATCGACCCACCGCCCTGTTCGTACATAGTGAAAGACTATGTCCCCACCAAGCCAGAATATCTGCCAGTGGATCATCTTGAGGCTGAGAACCTGGCACCAGGCTCTTCGCAGACTCCAGCAAGACAACCTGTGTCAGACACTGCATGTAAGTAATGGCATTTAGGATTCTGAGACCAAACTCAATCGGCCAAGCTATAGTTCTATCTTCTAGTCTTACTTCTGCACGGCCTTCCTGGGGCAGGTCCAGGTCCAAGCGCAAGGCCATGAGTACTTTGCAATCCGCCGCGAAAAAATTCAAGATGGATCCTGACGGCACAGACACTGATGTGGATGCCGATTTAGATGTAACCATCCAGACGGGTCTGTACGTCGCCGAAATGTTTGCGGACAATCTCGGAGTCACTTATCTGCTGAATATTATTATTGTCGGTGAGTTCGTTCGTCTGCCGAAATTGGTCACACTCTTACCAAAGTTTTTTCAGACAATGTAATGAGAATCTGGTATTATGATCGGCAAGGAATTATTCAATGCTCAGGCATCAACTTCATTCAAGATCTCCCACGATTCATGGTGCTGTTGTATGCTTTACAATGCTTCAAGCTTCATGATTGGGGCAATAAGGTCTTCCTCCCAGTTCAAGTTGAGGGGAAACGATGCCACAAAATCAAAATCAAAGATGAGAAACTTGGAGAAGTAGATCTGCTGCTTCACACTAGTTACAACAGAAGAGTGACACGCTACGGACTGCAAGGACGGGCCACTAATGTGGTCCCTGTCGCCAGTGAAGCGCTCATGAAAAAATACGATAATCTCCAGGATGAGATGGTGGCCAAAATATTTTGGGGAGAGGCGAGTCGCACAAGCGAACCGGAAATCTTGGACAAGGTTGATGAGATCGCGAAGGTTCACAGTTCTGTAAAAGGCCATATCCCTGAGTTGCTGTAGCACTACAAGTTCATGAATTCCACGTCCGCCATCCGGGAGGCGCTCAGCGTTCCAGACCCCACCACAGGCAGTCGCATCCTCTACATTCTCGTATTTCGCAAGCTCAAGCCGATCACGGAGCTCTACAGTAGAGAGCTTTTCGACGTGTGGTATCAATGCATACTATGTACGTGTTTCATCGCATTTATAAGGCTCTCGTTGACATAGTGTGCAGGTCACCTTACTTTGTGGAAGGAGGGGGTCTATCATCGAGATGTCAGCCCTGGAAACCTGATGTGGTACTGGCAAGACGGGAAGCGGATAGGTGTTTTAAACGATTACAATCTATCCTCATTGGCGGATGACACAGGTTCTCGAGGCAATGAATGCATAGGAATGATACCATTCATGGCGATCGATCTTCTCAGTGTAACAGGTCAACGAGGCGAAGTCAAAGATCTATATCACCATGATCTGGAGTCCTTTATGTGGTGCTTTGCCTGGATCTCCTTGAAAGGAGTCCATCTATCTCAGGGATTGCGCCCCGTCGATGAATGGGCGACTTTAGATGCCAGGGCATGTCCCGTCGAGAAGTTTTTTTTCCAGGGGCATATAGAAGTCCCCGCACACTTGCACAAAGATAAACTTATGTGGAAATTCCTTGTGGATTGTTTCCATGTGCTTAACACGCACTCCTTTAATCGAGTCACACAACTATACCAATCACTAATATCGGGGGACAAACTGACCAACTCTGAGGAATCAGAATCAGACATTGATGGTTTTCTGCTGTCATTCAAGAACACTGAGAGCTGGGCTGCTCTCAGCAAACCTTCACAGTAATTTTCACTTGTTACACTACCTGGGTTCCAATACTTGCGTCAATTGCCCCTGTGTGCTTTGTCTCCAGTAGGTAAACTGATCGATTAAATGGATGATAGTGATTCGTCGTTGCGCAGAATGAACTGTTTGAATCAGACATCCTACCAAGCGATATCCAATATCACGTTAATGCATCACTTCAACTCATCGGAATCCACATGTATCATTGCCGATTGTAACAACGGAGAATCCAATATCCTACAATGGCTGAGCACTACACCTCCCAATGATCCTGGTGCCAAACATAGTATTGTTCAAGTACGTGATTCCTTTCAGATACAGGGTCCCAACGTACCAAGTTCTCGTGATGGACGTACTTGGATCTTCATACTCGCTTATCCCCAAAATCGTCTTTCATCTGTGACAATGGTCGATCAGGTTATGCTGGGACTAGCATACGTACCTTCACCAGGAAGGGCAGTGGTTTCTTTAGGTTCTCTAAGATTGTTGACCGCCATGATGAGTCTAGCCAGGAACATTCATCAGCAAACTGTTAAGAACGTGCTCAAGGGTCGGATCCGAAGGGCTTGGCTTCAGCTCGTGCGCTGCGCCCCTTACCCGAGTACGTGCCCCTAACTTCCGAAGGCTGTCGAACGATGTCCGAAGGTTACCGGACGATGTCCGGAGGGCGTCGGGCGATGTCCGGAGTCCGATGTCCGATGCGCGGGAATTCCGGCAGACATTCGGGAACAAGAGATAAGACTAATCCGGACAAAGTCCGAACTAGAAAGGAAACAGCGGAGGACTACCAAAGGTAGAGGCGGAGGTGACAAGTCTATGGGAGTCAATCCTAAGACGAGCGGAGGTCGACAAGAGAGAAACTCAAGTCGGACGGAGGAGAGAATGAGCAGAGTCTAAGATGATATTCGAACTAAGGATGTACATAGATTCTACAGGGTTTATATACTACTGAGGACTTATCGGAGAACAGAGATGCGCAGTCCGAAGCTATACAAAGCTGTGGACGGAGCGTATAGAAAAGTCAAACGCTAGTCTATCGGAAAATAGTAAATGAACCCGGAGATTAGAACAGATGAAAATAAAGGCAGAAATGAAATGAGGTATGGAAAATGATATAGTCTAACTGGAGTAGGAACGTACAAAGGGATAAGGCACGGAAGTTAGACACGGGTCGGATCCGGACATAGATAGACGTCGGCCGGATCCGGACTTCCGGAAATGATGTGTGTGATAGGTCCGGGTCCGGAACGCGGGATATGACAAAACTACAAGTTTTGTCACAGGTGTCACAGACTGTACAAGGTGCCACAAGGTGTCACAAGACACCACAGATCTCACAAACTTCACAGACCTATATAATAAATATCACACTATAAATGCTACTGATGTCTACAGATAATACAAACTAACATAAATATGTGAATGTTAGCAAGTATTTGTCTCTCTTGCTCACTATAATCTGACTAAGCTTGTATAGCTTGTACAGCTTGTACAGCTTGTACAAATTGTACAAGCTGTGCAGAGACTTACTGAAATTAATAGTTTTCTGACCTTATTCTAGTCTCTATTATCCTCAGCCTATTATATGTTGTTCAACTTGTAATAACTGACAATATAGTTGAGGTGATCCTTAATGTACAAAATATAATGACTCTGAATAAAATAAGACATACATCAGTTATTACTATTCAATTACAATTATATTAAGATACTATAGTGGAACTTATGTAGTAGTAAATAGAGTGGTAGTGTTGTGGGGTAATTGAATGGATACAATCAGGTAACAACTATATTAATGTACCACACATTTAATAGATCGACTCGTGAAACATGGTCCTAAGACAAGAGTCAAGCCGAGGTCCACTGGGAGTCAATACGCGTGACGACACCTGGTGGTGCCGGTGAACCATATTATCAGTCTTCAAGTCCAATTCTTAATTTCTTGTACACTATGCAAACAATCAGCGACGTCATTTTTTGCGACCAGATCTACGCTCCATTTAATTATTAATGGGTTCAACTGCCTTTCCGCAACTATCCTGCGGTCGAAGGATTTAAATAACAAATTACCATACGGAAGATATTAGGACATGGTGAGTGTGTATTGAGCATGGAAAAAGTACAGGGCACTGCCTCCAGGAAATACCAGGACCTAAACGAGTGTAAGAAGGCAGCCAATCAGGTGAGTTTGGTTCTGTAAATAGGTAGGTGGACGAAAATGAAAATGGGGTGATCCAAATACAAGGTGACTTGCGTGGATGGCCAAGGACAAGAGCAAACGACAACATAAATGACAATGGTAATTGCGGGGATTGTGGGGGGAAATGGTGTGACTTCGGTGACTGATGTGATAAGATAAAACGACTGATCATAAGGAAAGACAACAGGGAAGATGGAGGGGAAATGGCCGAAGTCTTCCAGTTTCTGGACGTTGAATGACCTGCAAGCTACGTATGTCAAGGCATCTGCATCGAGAATGTTAGTCAAGGTGTGATATAATGGAATGCCTCGGAAGATGCAGTCCATTGCCGCAGCCTACGTGAACATGGATATAAACCATCTCTCCTTCAAAGCCAAGAGACGTCACATTACCTTTGTTCACCTAGTACCCGCAGAATGCAAACCCCCTTCAGTTCCACAACTTCAGTCGCCCGGGTCGATATTCGATTATTACACATCCACGTATATCAGAATGGGTTCCCCAACGCCCTCAATCTCGGGAATGACGCATTTGAGATCAAATGCCTTGGCAAGCACAATTTTGAAGATCTTTTGAACGTTTATCGACGCAGATGTCGAACAGAAGACCAGCGAGGCGTGCATCGCACGAGCAAATCGTTTTGCCTGATCAAATCAAATTAGTTACGAAATCACATCATCTATATGATGTAAAGACGTACCTGCTTGGTAATCTCCTCCTGCTCGTCTCTTGGGAACGTCGCGAACGTATCAAATTTCGTGCCAATGAGAAATGGTATAGCAGTCTGATAAAAGGAATGAGCAATGCCATTGAAAAATATCTTGCGAAATATGAATAGACCTTGTTGAATCCTCGAGCCTGACGATACCACTCCTTCACCGAATTTAGCGTTGACTTTCGAGAAAGATCGAACATGAATAGAATCGCCACAGCATCATTACAGACGAGCGGCAGCATGTTGACGAACTCTCGCTGACCACCCAAATCCCATATTGAGAATGTGATGGTGGTACGCCGGACAGAAATCGTTTTCTCCATGAAGTTGACACCTGCGGCCCAACTCATTAGGATGGCAAAGCGCAATACGAAAAATGACGGGTCTTCACCTAGTGTCTGGATATAATCCTCATCAAAACTGCCTTCTACATACTTGACCATGAGACTCGTCTTGCCAATCTGAGAATCTCCAACCATCCCAACTTTGATGACTACGCTATTCTTCTCTTCATTGTTCTCCAGCATTGGATGCGGGTTCTGACCACTAGGGCCAGCGATTGAAGTTGAAGATACCGAAGTCGTAGGTGGGGACATTATCGATCAATGTAGAGTGGTATCCAGTAGGAAGTGGTAATTTTGATGCTGTGGTGGCACAATACGACACTGGAATCAATGGGTAACAGGGTATCAAGATGGGAGACTGTATGATGAATCAAAGTAGTCGGAAGAACGATAGAAAATAAAGACGCGTTCTGCCGTGCGCTGGTGAGATGTTTGATAAGCGCCTCGAGTGAGAATTGCAGGCTCACGCTCAGTACTGTACACTGAGACGCGAGCGACTCAACTTTTGCGTAGTCGCCCGTCAACAGCCAACGCAGAGAACAGACCGAGAGAATGTGGAAGTTGAAGGAAGGATGTAACTGCCGTAGCTTTAGGTAACGTGCTGTTTGGTTTCTTGACAGAAGTCTGTTTTCGAACTTGACAAACAGCTTCAAATTTGTTCTCCTGTTGCTGCTATGTAGTAAGGAGCTCCGAGGATCACGAGAGAGGTTATCATGTAACCATTCCTACTTAGACCAATCGAAGGACAATATAAGTTCGTATCAAGGTTGGTGTTCGACTCGTCTCACAACTTAGACTGAAACTGAAGCAGATTGTAGACCAGACCAAGCCAAGGATGGATGACTTAGGCCAGGGATCCAACGTCCAGACGTTCTGTCTGGGAAGCCACTACAAAAGTATTGACAGCTCTAGCAGAGAGTGCATACTACCTTGATTTATCCTACGACCAGCATCATACGGTAGCCTACTAGGGTTGGTTCACATTTATGGTGAGGGTCGTCACATGTACAGACAAGCACTGATATTCGTTGAGCAGTTGATACATCTAGCCTCACTGGCAGGGCACGTTCTTGTCAGTCTTGACTTGCACTTTAAAGATGCTCACTTGTGTTGTCCCGGCTGCTATGATGCTCCAATCCGAATCTGATGCAGCACCACCGAGGGTCGTTGACAATATTTGTCGCGTGGCTCGCTCGCATCCAACGATCAACTGCAGTCACCTTCACGAGCTGTACAAAACGACATCATACTGGGCGCATCTGCAACATTATGGGGGGTCGATGACTATCATCTTACCTTGTCTATCGTGTATGTGGTAGATGTTATCCTCGCATCATCCCAGTCAGCTTAGTGAACAGCGGTCTTTTCTATATCTGAACCATAACGATAACAAAGGGCGACCACATACCTGTCGACGACCAGTTTGATATCCTGGGCATAACCGAGTCGCTTGGGCGGGCAGATATGGCCACGTCTACCCCCGAATTTCGTTCATCCTCGATATAGGCGATCGTTCCTCGTGACACGTATGAGCCACACATGAAAAGACTTTACCAGCTGCTTGGGAACGGAAGCTAGGAATGGGAGACACGGTGTTTGGGAACATACAGCATCCGTAGTGGTATACGTCGGGCTGGTCACGACCCTAACATTATCTTGTAAGCCCATCGGGTGCCCCATGGCTCTCGCGCGCGAAATAGAACATTGGGTATGATGATCGAAGCCATCAAAATGTATCTTTGAGTTAGGTTCCCTTTACATCACACCCTCGATTCATACCAGCACTGGACACTACTAAGTGTGCTTTTATCGTGGATGAATTGAAGTACTCCTGACCCATAGATTTGGAGTTGTAGTGTAACAATCATATGCCCATTGGCATGCCACATGGATTTATGTGAGAATTTGCAAATTATCGGACTTGGGGGTGAACTTACGACAGCTTATGGACACCCAAGTTACACAACTTCTAGAAACTGCCAGCAGAATTTTGGAGGGTAAGTAAGTAACTCTGGTTACCCCCACAGTTTCAAACATAAATTCCAAAGAGGGGGCTTGCTTCTCTCATACCTGAGGCCTGATTGCTCATCAATACAGTAAACCATGCCGGCACTCACCCACGTCGATTGGTTGGTCCTATATCTTGTTAGGGTTGAAGTGTATCTAGTAAAGCAAGTGTTCGGCAAGAAGAACCCTGTACCATATCCCCCGGGATGGCCTCTCGTTGGGAACATTACTGACATGCCTGATGTCAAGCCCTGGCTTGGCACCTTCGCTAAGTGGGGCAAAAAGTATGGTGAGTACTCCTTGTCTTTCCCAAGTCGTTTGTTTCAATAGCTGCGTGTAGGTGATATAAGTATTGCATGTCGTGGCACTACTTGGTCAGCACGATGCTAACTTATCGGAGTGGCACTAGGAACTAGCCTTACTCTGACATATTGTAGATGCAGGCGTCCCGGTGGACCTAAAAATTCACATCACAAACATCATTACCTAGGGCTGCCGTCATTTATACAATTTACATTAACTAATCATAAATTTCTCCAGTTAAAGAGACTTTTTGCGTTCCCGCATAATATTGCAATAGTAAATACGAGTAATGAGACGGTGCTTAATTACCTTAGCCCAGTTCTCCCACTCCGCTCTGGAAATGGACCTCGCCGTTTCATCTCGTGCCTGATCCTAAGGACGAGGCTTGCTATGACAATCATTCTCCCCATCAGCACTACCACCGCAATCGCTTTCAATGCAGGTATGTTTAAACCCCTTGAGCGTCTAACCAACGAAGACAGCGATCCGTGCAATATGAGCTGGCCAATTGACAGCAGGGCAGCTCTCACGTAAAATGGATGACAGACGGCCCCGTATGGTCCATTTGTGACAAGCTCGTGTCCTTTGCGGACACTGAGCTTGAATGTGAAAAAATGATCAAGGATGTGAAAACACCACCAGCGGATGAATCCCCCAATGACAATGAGCGCCGTGCCGAAAAGGAGAGGGGAAGTGTCAGAAACGTCTTGAATCGCTCGAAGTGAGCTAATTATCGTTTGTAACCCGTCGGGGAAAATGTTGGGGTCTATAGCGTGCAAGGTAGTGATAGCTAGTTCTGTGAAAGCAATAGCCCAGATTATTGCCTGATAGTTTCATTAGAGATAATTGTGGAATACTAATGATCAGCTGCCTTTGTCATTGGTAGCCCGTAGTTGGCATCCTGAAGAAGAATCCACTCTATGAAGTTCTTGTTGACAACATCGTCACTCGTAGGAACATGGGGAGCCATGAACACTACGTGCATCGCAATAGGGGGCGAGAGAACGAGTAGTATCTTGAGAAGAAACTCCATCTTCCTGAAGAACGCTCGACTTTCGCGAACGCTTTTATTCGCATCAAGGGTTGAGATTCGGATAGTCAATCCCCGCGCAATTACGGGTAGAAGGTGTGAACTGGGAATTTTTTGACAAGTCCGAAAACTCAGCAGGGAAGACACTGACAAGAAACACCATGTTGCTCGCATCATTCCAAATGGTTGCTCATGAAGCGGCTTTTGTATCCATGGTTCAGATTGGTAGTAAGAAAGAGAAACTTTCACCGGTTGGAGAATCTGAGGTTGTAGTCTAATTTGATCACTGCCACGTTGCTCGTGCGACGTGCGTAGAGATTGAGGTCAGAGACAGCTGAAAATTGGGGCAGTCATCATACCCGTCACAATCTTCCCGTAGGGAGGAGGACTGTGACCACCGTCAGGTTGAGGGCGTCGTAACCCTCATACTTTGAGTCGAGTACGCCAAATCAAGATACGAACCCATGTTCCTTAGTCCAAAGCTGCTAAGACATACCAACTTTTACTGTCAGCATGCAGCCGACAAACAAATAAGAACTGGGCTAACGTACGAAGTATCCCGGATGACGACGTACCATGCTATGAAGACGGATGTCACTGCTGGCAGCTGCATGTATTTAGATATGATCGAGCCACAGCGCACGATGACGGAATCCCGAGTTGATGAAAAGCAAGGAAAAGATCCATCATCAAATTGAATCATTATCAGGAAGTTCGGTGAGTCCCGGTGACTCTCAGATTTGTCTCGGATCTGTTTAATTTCGGAATGGCAAAATAGAACCGGTCACTACCAAGTCACTAGTACCAGCTTGAATCTTGACACATACGACTCGGATTTAGCAGACAAGTCACCATATAGTCAGTGTCAATCTCAAGGATTAGAGCCAGGTCTGTCTTCGCCGAATACACAGTGGGTGGTCCCCAACTGTAACTTGCTCTAAGATTGTTACCGCATCAACACTAGAGTTACAGGTGTTCCGTCGTACGTGGATTGCTGCAGCTTATGAGAGCAGTTGCATTTTGACATTACTCTTGGAAAGTCTGTCAACGCCTAGGTCTGAGCAAGCGATATGAAAAAAATATTAACACAAAGGTATCATACTGCCAGCAGATAGAAAGTCCCTTTCAATAAGTCTTACCGTAGGATGTGCGCGATACATGAATATGACTCCCATCAGGTTTTAAACACTACAATGAGGATGAGCAGTATTAGTATGAGAAGAGCAATTGTGACTGTAGAGCCTAAACCAAATAAATGAGCAAATTGGACGTTCGTAGGTCATCAATGATGGGAGTTACCATTTCGTCTCGCGCCTTGAGCAACACGTTCAAGTTTGCGCCTCGCACTGGACATGCGGGCACCGGTACCGTCGAGCTCAGTGTCTAGGGCATCAAGAAGTCCCGTATGTACCTCGAGCTCGTCGCCTATCTGGAGGGAAATGTGATGCTGTCGACCAATCGAAGAAGAAAGGTGGTCAAGGTGAGCATCTTGCGCTAGTGAATCAAATGTTATAAACCATATGTTAGGTTTTGGCGGCGAACATAAACCTTACCATCCATTATCTGCCTCTGTTGCATCAAAATGCCATTTTCATCTGAATCCTGCGAAGGGTCGTCGGTGTATGGTTCGTAGGTTGTCTCAGGACTCGGAACACGTTCAGCTAGAGGTGGGGGTGACGGTGGCATCGGAGGGGGTATACTGGCATGAGATTTGAGAACGCATTTACAATCACGCAAGGCACAACACACGTATGTAATCCAGCCTTCTCTGCTGCTTCTTCCCCAAACATACCGCGCAGCCGTTCGTAGTGTGCTCTAAGGCTTTCCGCAGTTTCATCATCGGAAGTGGTGCGGAGGGCTATGACGCCATCCCTAATCTTATGTAAATTGGTTGATATTGTTTGCAGATGTAGAGTGGGATGGGAGGCCTGGAGGCGCTGCCGTTCGAGCAGGAGAGAAAGTGTTGAGGTCGCAAGAGATGTCAGTTTCGCAGCGGACATGGTTCGTGTACAGAGGTGGGACTCCGGGGCCCCTCAAGCGAAGAGGATGAATGGGTGCCGAGAAGGAAGAGAAACTTTGAAGGAGCTCCCTGAGAGTATGAGAGCTACCGATATTGCAAAGTTTCGCAGCCCTGAGACGGAAGTTGGGAGGGCCTGCCCGCCGCCACGGGTCACATGTCGTATCACGTGAAAGAAAAACGCGTCCTGAAGCGACTAAGCATCTCACCTTCATAAACGGAATGGATACGCACTATAGCGACGTGAAATTTCTGCCCAGAGGCTTTTATCAATGAAGTTCAATGAAGTTCTGTTTATGCATGAAATATACATGTAGCGTGATTTTATCAGCGAATCATAGCATCTTATCTTATCTTATCAATGCCAATGATCAGGTGATCATACAGATACCTGAGCTTATGTGAGCGTAGAAACAAGTTACCAAAGTCCAACCCTTCAAGTTACTTAGTACAATCTCCAGCACGAGAACTTGACACGCAACCATCATGTCAAATCAATCTATACATCCCAGTGCTCTGGCAGCATTACAACGCCCTTCGAATACTGGAGATCGCTCTACAATTCGTAAACTATCTGATTTCGATCAAGGCGTGCTTGCGGTTTCTACATCGCACGATAAGAATCTTGGAGAATTGACACACAGATTCGACCTTCTCTGTCCCCGTAACGGATGCGGTAGCGTAATCTTGAAAGCGGGCATCGGCCGATGGGTAGAGCGTGATAGTGTCGAGGTCCGACTCGTTTCTGATTAATCCATACCATCGACGTCACTCAGCGATGTCGTTAGCTCGATACCGTAAAGGAGTCTCTTCACCCAGACCTGCCAGCATTGCCAGCTCCACCTGCGACTGCGCACTGGTGGTTGGTGACTCCGAATATGATGGAATTTGAGAACATTGGTTTTACAAGGCCTGTCCAGAAAGACGGTCAGTGTATCGCCGGTTTCCATTCCCATTCACCTGCCCTAATAACAAAATGCCAGCAGTTGCAGCAAAAAAGCTCAAGTTCCTGATATGCGCAGAGTGTGACCTTGGTCCATTGGGATGGTGCGAAGAAGGGGGCAATGAATTTTGGCTAGCTTGTTCGCGGGTGGGATATCGCTAAGTCACAATGATATGGGGCTGCGCGTATTTACAGACTGATACTGAACAACTTCAAGTCACGAAGCCAGCTAAAGAAATAACAACCAGATGTGTAGCAACAAACTGGGATCTGCCAGTGCTGACTCGACTTCGAGGTGGCACCTCGGAAGGCATGACTCTTGCTACGTTCAAATCCGTCTGCCCTCGGGTCGCTCAAGAGATAATGAAATGAGGTTAGGCATGAAAGACCCCGACATGTCTATTGAATCTCTTGAGCGGTTTCGTAGAGCCATGATGCATATCACATCGATCGATACTCGAAATTCAAAGCTAAATTCATACTCTGTCTGTTTCCATCCGTATCAAAGCTCAGGCGGTTTCTCTTTTTTTTTCTTTTTTTCTTCTTTTGTAACGTATTACGAAAGAGAGAAAAAGAAAAAGAAAAGAAACCCCTCCCCCAAGCACTCTGTATCCGTTGCATAGCGCCCGTGTTATATTATGACTTTCCAAAGCAACCTGAGGCCCGATGTGCCAGAACCTATGACATTGAATGAGTTCTTGTACATTCCGTTGCACCTGCTAGTGATGGCTTCAGGATACATTGCTCATTCTGCTCCCATGACACCCCATATCGCCTTTCCAACAACCGAAATTCCATCATTTTGATTGCCTGCACGACTCTGACCGTCATCAAAAATTTCGGGACCCAAGAGTCCTCGCCGCACGCTGAGGAGTAAACGCATTATAGACTCTGTGAATTCGGGGTGGCCTTGACTGGTGAGAATATGAATATCGGTCAGGCGAAAATCAGAGTGCGATGCGTCCCTTAGGGACTCTGACTGTGAAAAGAGAACCATCCCGTGAATCGGCGATTGGTTAGACGATGCAAGAACATGGAATGATGGCGGCTTGGTGGGAACATGGTCTCGATTCATTAAATGTATGTTCTCGAGAAAGAATGAGTACGATAGCAATCGAAAATAAAGATTTCTAACCATTACGCCAGATTCGATGCCATACACTCTCTTTCCGAGTTCAGTCAATTGGAGCTTTGTCGCAGAAACTTCGAAACGAGTGTTGCGAACACATGTCCCGCCCATGGCAAGCGCGACGATCTGATGTCCAAAGCATATGCCTGTTAAACGATCATCAGCCCTTGTAGACTGTATGAAATGTATTCATCGACCAAAGATCTTTATCCGCGGTTTCTCTGTCGCGATCACCCTCACGTACTCAATCAACTTTTTCATCCATTCTCTACCTGGCTGTTCATATTCGTGGGCAGTATGTGCTGTGCATGGCAGGAGCAAGATTCATACTCATGACATACACATGCATATGTTTCCACGCACCAGAGCCTGTGATTAGTATTGCATCGTAGTCATCCTCTTTAGGGTAAACCTGCACGCGCACGTCGAAAGGCTCAAGTGTGAACGTCGTTTGTGAGTCTAGGTCAATGGTGTGAAATCGAGCCTTGTAGCAGAGTCAAAAATAAATGTACAACGAACCAGCTGAATGAGTCTCATTGATGGGCTTCAATGATTCTTCTAGCAAGGTTCCGAAAATTCTTGTGTAGTCCCCGTGCTGCTCCCGAACAGGATCAGCGGGTACATCGCATATGAGCAGTGCAATACGGCGATGTGTTCCCGGCTGATACATCGCCAAAACCAAGGGGAGGCGCTGATACTGAGAGAAGTATTTGATTAGTGTTACATCGTTATCAATGATTACTGATACTTATATCATTACAGCCCGTTGGGATGTTGAATGACTCGCCGAGTCGGACCGCTTCGGTCCAGGTTCTACCCGGTTTCCGATGGTAAAACGAACACTGCCACGGACAGCGCATTAAAGCTTTCACTTCAATCCGTTTCAAAGTTCTCGCACTATCATCATCCGTGGTTTCTTTCAATGAGCGAGGTTGTAAACGCTATCGTCGCTTTTGCAGTCATTGTCATCATCTTCCGATGGGCAACTTCATGTGAGTAACGAGCTATTGATTCCACCAATATGTCCGCTTCTAACAAGTTTCTACGGCAGCCAGCGACCCTTCCAGTAGGAGGTCAGCATCTTCAACTCTCGGTTTCAGGCCAAAGAATGTAACGCAGGAAATGGTTGGGCTGGAACTTTATACCAGTCATTATGCTGAATCCCTCCTCGCAGGTTGACCAGATACATTCCATGTTTCCAACCATACCACAGTATGTTTGTTTTTAACTGCAGAATTTCTCACTTACTATTGTCACAGAGATAATATTCGTTATGACTTGCTGAGGACAGGGAGCGTCGAGATCACCTCGAATAAAATTCTGGAGCGTGGATATCTTGATGCGGTGTGTAAATATCTCACTTGATGTCAATTTCATGCATTCGAGCATTCTCTTTTATAGCCTCCTCCAGCATATTTCACTGTCTATACTCGCACAGAGGTTCTCCCACAACCCCGGCAAGTTGCTCCTCAAGGGCAATCGACAGGTTTAGCACCAACCCCGAAAGAGAACCTTATATCCCGTTACAAGCTACAAGACCGAACGCTATCCTCCACTTTGTCACCCGAAGATCATCTTGCCTTCGGCAAAGCCAACTGGGAGGATTCGTCGGAGAAGCGCGAGGCTAGTTTGCAGGAAAGGAAAGCACAGATGATTTTGGCTGCCAGACAGTGCGTCTCTATCCTTGAGTCGATGCCCTTGATTAATTAATCATTATCAGACGATTGCTGGCACAGCAAACTCGGAAAGAAGAGACAGACGCGGCACCAGGTTCTTCGTCGTAATAAACATCTCATTCTTGCAACAATTACTCAGATGCCGTGATTCCTTGCATAATAAGCGTTACCAAATGCTCTGTACTTATTGTTGCTGTTTTGTTCATACATCCCATGTCTCATCAGATCCTGGACCGGCCGTCATCATTTGCAATTCTTTCCCCTGCATGATCCGACAACAATGTGATACAATACCTGTTCATTCCTATTCACCGTATCTTTTAGAGCTTAGCGCTTATCCCTGGCATGATCAATAGAAGGCTGGGCTTTCAAAAGCTCAGTGGTTTGAAACTGACACTGCTGGTGAGTAACAGTGCCTCACATTTGATTAACCCACAAAAAGTTATCTCTAGCTGCTCACGACTGCATCATGCGGTACGACGACCATGTTCATTTCATAACCTTACTGATGGCTGATGATATTATTGCCTTGGCGGTCTGAGAAATTTAAATATATTAAACCATACCTTGGGATACCTGCTCAAATGGATAACAGCGATGCGGACCTACATAGACTGGTAGTGACTCGGACTCATGAGCGCTGAGCCCACACCAGCACGCAGAATTTCGACAGATTCTCAGGCTGCGGTGACCGGTCGCCACTTTTCACTTAGGCGGCTAGTACGAACATGATTGCGAGCTGTAGTATACACCAAATTGTCACATATATACGTGGTTCGCAATCAGATCTGTATACTGTTCACCTGCGTATCTTGTTATCCCAGCCCGTAATCAATTAAAGGTAACGGGTAATTCCATCATCTGGAGGTGTCATCAATGAGCCTGAATAATAGTAAACTAACAAGCCGGGCTTCCGCTTGTTCCTGCTGCCTCGCTTGAAACATTCTTACTGTGGGTCGTACACTAATCTTGCATCGTTCCGAGGCTGTCGATGAGTCGGCGTGGCAGATTAAGATAGCGAAGAAGTGATATAAAAGGCAAGGACATCAGCACGATGTCGGACCTATGATTATCGGCCGATGCCATATTACTGGTCTCGCTCATACACTGACCTGCTACGCAAACAGAACAATAGTTTCGGTGAGAGAATTTCTATACTTATATACCGCAACAAATAAAGGAAACTGTTAAGATGGGATGCCCTGCGGGCTGTCCCGGGACCCGGGGGTCAGTGTACGAGGTAAGTATAGTACGAATAGCTGAAGCAATTATCTAACAGAGTACTAGTGCACGCAGTGAGGGAGTGGAACAGCAGACATCACGATCGGTGAGTAGACTTGCCCAATGGGCTCCTGCCCGAACAACTTTGACTTCCATTTTGATCAGGCTTCCATTGCAGAGCAATCTCCACGCTCGAGCCATGGTGCTGACTGTGCGAGTATGAGGCATTCACTGTCAGTGAATTTTTCCTCGATGCTACCCTCAAATTCTTGAAGTACGTACGTTGTTGCTGGCCTCACATTCAGGATCGTCATGGCATGAGAAGCTACTATTAGGTTTTGACTCAGTTACTGGGAATGTCGAATGCATGCACGATGTACGTAACACTACATCATGAGGCTAGTGGCGAAATGTTAGCTTGGTTATGAGATTCCACGACTAAGGTGAGACGCAATCACGACTTTTTCAGGACACTGTCCGCGTTAAAGACGGAAACGATTTAGTGACTCGGACTGCCGGGCGCAACAGAATGCTCCGCGCAGTCCTGAATATCAACTCAAGTGCTCATCTGCCATGCCTACGACCTCGGGTTGGTTATGTTCAGTAATCTCCGTTCGCACGATGCAAACAATCGAGAAAGTAATCGACTTTCAACAGGTAGCTTAAGAGGTCGATAAGAACACCGGTACCGGTCGTTCTTAACACGTGATATCCTCGTGCTTGGAATGATACGGCATCGCGATTCGCATTTCAGACAAGCGTGAGGGGAGCATTGCTTCATAGCGACAGGGGTTATCAAATCGGTTCTGATTGCTGGTGGGCCAACCTTGGACATGAGGTGAAAGCGCCAGGGCCGTGTGCAGGGTCGTTTCCGTTCCGCATGTGATCCAGTTGTTGGACATTTCCGCTATGTCATATGCTCTGTGAACACATGGCAATCCGATACCTGCTTGACGACATGCATGTTCATACCTTCCAGGTCATTGTTGTGCTTCTCCTTTTAACCTGATTAACTTTTTAGAGTTCCGAGTAGTTTCCATAGAAAGCTGGGAGATCTCAAGCACCGTGTGATTTCTTGCTTGCTGTGTGCGATGATAGTGCGACAATATTAATGTGCTGCACATGCAGAGCTCGGAGGTGCGCGGCACTGCAACATAGATAATAATAAAAAAGGGGATCATTTATTTATAGAATACCGTAATCGGAGACTGAAATTGTGAAATTGTTATGGCAGATTAGTTTGACAATGTTCTGTTCGTTCGTTGTCGTTATGGATGAGGGTGAGCGAGAGCACGTACACAACTGGTTGCTCGCTGAAGACAACGCGCGCATCGCTATACTCACTGTCTCTTCTCTCGCTCTCGCCGTTGCATCCATCCTCCTCTGGCGGGCAAAGCACGTGGAGAACAATCCCGGGAACGACCACGGACCTAACTCCCAACAGGCCCGTTCTGCTCAATCCATCATCACCGCCGCTCTCTCTACTTTTCATATCGCCAGTAACACTCCTGGTGAGTGTGACATGACCGGACCAGAACACCCAAACACTACATCATCTACATCTACCGACATGGAGCAGAAAGCTTCTCGGTCCAAGGAGCGACGCAGAAGGGGAAAAGTTCCGCTTAAGGAACTTCTCAAGAACGGGAAGAAGGCAAAGTCTACACCCAAGACCTTGCAACCTAAAACACCCGTTCATCAAGATAACAGCGGTAGCGATTCTCCGGTGTTCGAGTCAGAGTTCAAGTCGACCACAAGTAACGATAATATCGCGCCCGTCGCGCCATCCACTTATTGTTTGCTTTCACCTACTCAGGACTCTCCTAAAGAGAGTCTTGTATCACATCTGAGCGTAGAGCCACCGCCAGCGGTTGAACCACACGAGGACCGCCTGCTACCTGCTTGCATGTCAGCATCCAGTTCTGAGCCAGCATCAGTTTCGCGTCATGTCACGTCCAATGATCTCACCATGCGTACTTCACGCTCTGAACACACGCACCTTCATGGCACCGCTGACAACATCCAACCTGCTGGCAGCCCCTGTCACGACGATTCCCCCTCCTCCATGCTAGAATCGTCTTCCTCACCCACCTCTGCAGAAGAACACGACAGCCATGAAATTACATCCTCATTCACTTCTTACCCTCAATCTCGTTCTATGCCACTCTGTGTATCTATATCTACCCACACGTTGGATTTGGACGGACAATCACAGGCATACAGGGCAGGTGCTCACACCAAGCCTCCACGATTAATGCTCAAGCACCGTGGAGCTGACAAGTCAAATGGTAGTTGTGTGATTGCAGCCTCTATCTCGCACAATACCCCCTTGGCATCGTCATCTGCCTCTCACTCCTCCTCTCCCGCACGAATTATGTTATCCACCTCTGCATGCGCACCCAGTTCCCCATTACACCCGAATCTAGGATCGAGTATTGAACCGAAGCCATCTCCCTCCGGCTCTTCCCCTCAACTTGTTCCTTCACCAACACTCCCACATGTCACATTTCCTACTTTGAACCCTCTCCAGGCGTCTCCTAATGATCACACACATACCCATTCGAGCATAGTTGAAAGTCCTATTATGAATGGACAGACAGTCGCGGGTCTGCCAATACCAACTGCCTCGCGAGGCTCGACGCCTCCACCAGGAGTATCTGTTCACACTGTCCATATAGGCTCGCCTACTGGCCCATTACGTGCTCAAACCCAGCTCGCGTCCATGCGTGGTGCACTCGAGGCTGCGAGACTACGAGAAGAGAAAGCTCGTACGGAGGCTGAACGTGTGGGGAAGGAAAATGAAGAGCTAAAGTGGCGATGGAATGAAGATACGATGGCTTGGAGGAGGAGGGAAGGTGAAGTGAGTATCTACTCTTCACCGAGCCTCCATTGTGCGGCGGTATTCGTTATCATCGTTTCACTGACCATATTCTTCAGTTACAAGCTCAAGTCCATCACCTTATGCAGCAGCTTCAGGCAGCATACTCTATCCTTACGACTTTACAATCTCAAGCTCAAGCTCAATCTCCTTCATCATCTTACTCCTCTCCCACATCACCATCCCCACGCCTGCAACCCCACAGCCCCAATATCTCTCACAGTGGCCTTCCCTCAAATTTCAGCCACAATCCACCTGCACACGTTCAAGCACTCCTTGCATCATCCTACCACCCATACCCTGGCTTTCCAGGTACCTATGGAGGTGCAGGGATGACGCCTTTATTCTCCGGTCTGAGAATGACCATGAATCCGGGAAGCAGCGTGAGGAACGGTGGTGGTAAAGGCCAATATACCCCTGACACGACTTCCTCGGCGGGGTCATCGCCATCGCGTGGAAGGCGACGACGACGCAATTCGGCATCTTCATCTGCTCAAGAGAATAATAGTGAAGATGTGAGCATCAGCGAAGCTGAGGGAGACCAAGAGGATATGTGGCAGAATAGTATATTGGCCGATGCGATTCTAAAGCGCCCTGAAAGCCTGCGTGTGCCTAGTCGAGGGAGTCTTCGATCTGATGGACGCATGAGCGCTATAGGGAGCGGGCCGAGTGGGAAAGAGGACGCAGGACGTGTGCCTAGCAGGATGAGCGAGAGATCAGATGCCTCTGCGAGCGGAGGCAGTTACGGGGTGCTGAGTATGTCGAGTTTGTCATCGGGTAGGAGCGAAGACGAGACGAGTGGCGTCATCGCAGAGGGCGATCCTACTCTGGCAGAAGTGACTGGAAGTACTAACGCTGGCAGCGAGGGAACGTCAGATCCTGACGTACCTACGCAAAATGGCTCGTCCTGGGACCCATCAACGTTAACTCCCGCTCCTGCCAAGGGCCAACGACAACCGGAGGTCGGATTTTGACTTATAACGTATTGTATCCCCCCTCTGCACCCCCACGTTTTCTTCCACCACTTTCGTTACTTTTATACGATACGATCGATCCATAGGGACTTGGAATTTGGATGTCGAGTCTGTATAATAAGGTATATCTTCAGATTATTGTCTTAATACACGTTGCGTGGTTCAGCCGTCGGTTGCGTTGACGCTCGAGGGCCATGGTATATAATATTTTTTTTGAGTACTGACGGCGTAATTAGCTCAAACTAGTTGGTACATAGAACAGAACAGACGACCTAGTTGCCCCAAGTCTCATACATAGATATAGCCTACCTAAGGACGTGCATGGTTTGGAGCACCTAATAACTCGAATTGATTATGGGCTTTATTGCTAGGCCGGAGTCGAAGCACCAACTACAGACTGTTCTGACCTCTGCTTCAAGTCGGGGTAGAAGAAGAGGTCGGAGCAGCATTAATTGAAGTCATGGTGAGAATACTTGCAGAATATTTGCGCGATGACTGGTGGAGAGTGTGAGAGCGACGGGGAAAAGGAGATGAGCGTAGAGAAGAAAGAGAGAATGCAGCGTCGATTCTCAGTCCTTTTGACCGGGATTAACTCGGATGTGTGCTTCAATAGAATAGAAGCCCACATGTAGAGAATCTTCATATGACCGCTTACAGAGGCCATGTTTCACGCGTCCGCATCAACGTTCGCAAGTTCGCGACCCGCTCGAAACGGTCACTTGTTCTGTTTATGCAGTGCCGCGCGTTATTTCTGTACAGTACCTGTTGCGATGGGTAAGAATACTTCAAGAACTCGTACTAATGTCATTCGGTGAGTTGATATATCCACTTCACATCACTAGCCAGGTGGCAGTAGTCACACGAGCATTGATAAAATAGATACCATCCTTACATATGTTAGATATTAACGACGAAAGAAACATGACGTGCATGATAGTCGGTGTCAGCTAGATAGGTAATTATTTCTGGGCCATCCGACCTGCGGTGCACAACTGGTCCGCAAAATTAGGTAACTGTTTCCTGGGCAGACGGTCATCCCACTCGCGGTGCACAGCTGGTAGGCAAATTTTGAGTCCAGGAATGTGATGCGGGGGCGGAAGGCCCTTGTTTAACCACGTCTGGGTGGGCGCAGGCGCTTCAGGGATCCAAGGGGCCTATATTATCTATCCGTTAGACATACTGAATATGCTTGCTTACACGAGGGGACATACCATGTAGTTTCCAGCATCCAATTTATCAAAATCGATGTTGTCGAGCCATGGGTGGTCGAGAACGGATCCCTTAATACCCAGACGATCCTCCGCCGTCGTGGTTAAAAGTCCTGCGACAATGGACTTGAGGGATGCGCTCACGCGGAGGCCCTTGGGCCACTTGTACTTCCCCGAGGAGACCCTCTTATATATTTTATTTTCGTCCGTACCGAAGAATGGCTGGAAGTAATATAAGAAAGGTCTCATGGGGCAGGAATCACTGGTACTGACCGTTCTCTTCGTGAGCATTTCGTACAACGTCACACCTGCCGCCCACCAGTCGACACTGAATCCTGTCATGTGTTGGTAACATAAGGTCTCAGGAGCCATGTAAAGTGGTGTCCCGATCATTAGCCAATCTGTGATTGGTCCGTTGTCAATCTTATCTAAACGGGCGTATCCAAAGTCTGCGATGGCCAAGTACCCATCCGGTCTAACGAGAATATTTGCTGGTTTGAAATCTCGATGAATAATTCCCTCGCCATGGAGGAAATAAAGCCCAGACACGAGATTGGCAAAGTAGAACCGGGCAGTGGCAGCATCAAAAGGGCCGCGCGTTTGGATGACGTCGTAGAAACACCCGCTCGGTATAAACTCGAGCATAAGGTAAAGGTTCAATTCATCTTTGAAGACGCCTATGACACCATTCACCCAGGGACTCCAGGGCAATGCCGACAGGTGCATCCTCTCTGCATGAGTATCCGCAGGGTATTTCTGGTTGAAAGGTTATAATTGCAAATATGATGTAGCGGTATACATACCTGATGTGTGATTTTCGTCCTTTCTTTAGAAAGGACCTTAACTGCAAACAATGATCCTGGCTGTGCCAGTTTCCCTAGATTGGGTTGGTCACGCACTCGTACGAGCAGCACATGACCATAAGCTCCATCGCCTACATCGAGTGAGTTAAGTTTAGCTCCCGATTCTGAAATAGCCATGTCATACCTAATGTGCGAATACATTCAAAACCGTCCAAGGGAAGTGCGGGTGGGCGAGGGTCTACTACATCGGGTGGTAAGAGGCCACCAGTATAACCAGGTAACCCGTGGACGGTGATGCATGGCTATAAACAAACAGTCAGTGAAGATGCTATGAATCAGAAGAGCACCAGGGTGCACATACCGGTTTAGGATCATAATGCGAAGCACGTCGAGTCTTGGATGCTTTGAGAACATGCTTGCGAGCGTGGATACCTTTGGAGGGGGCGGCATTTGCTTTTGGGGATCGAGAGGGATGTTTTGTAGCCCGCGAACTTTCAGACGGCTTGGTTGATGAGGGAGTTGGGTATCGCATTCTGATTCTGATGGTAATAGATATTTCGTGAAGCTTGCGAGCGACAAGATCGTTGAACTGGGATGAAACACTCAAGGTTGTAAAACCCAGACTTCAGACATGGCCAATAAATATTGTAATGGGGGCAACGGTAATTCCACACCATCGTCTATTGTTCCACAAAAAGGTGTGGTAGCAGGTCAAAGCTTCGAATTTCGAAAGCGGAGTGTTTAACCCAGCGCGCTTGTTTGGCGCTTGTTGTGCGTGTTGCGGACCTGCCGGTCAGTCCTCTACCAACACATGCGTACTAGCTTGTGGTATGCAACACGTTTTATCAATTATCGGTCGCAAAGCACACCTAAATTTGCCCAATCTCTGCAATGACTCCAACGTTGATTACTGAAACAAAACCTGAGGATTGGACATATATCTCCGAGGGAGGGGCGACTATCGTATTCTCGTATCGAGGACCTCACAATGTCCAATTCTCTGATCGCGTTCTACGTCTGCGTAAAGTCGCTCAAGGGTCATCAGACAACACGCTGCTCAATACCAACAGTGAACAGCCAGATGATCCCATGATCGCCTTTCAAGAGAACATCATCTCAAAACTCATTCCTTCTGAGTTTCTGCCGAGTCTTGTGATGGTGGTGCTCGACGAAGATTGGCTCAGGTCACTTGTTATCCTACGCGACGGCGATCGTCCAGCAGAGAGAAGGCAGACGGATCAGATTGATGTTCGCAGGACCAAGGGTGTATTAGCTACGGATCTCATTGGGAGTATGCCCATCGCGATGGAAATCAAGGTGGTCGCTAGTTTATTGGGAGAGTATCTGCGTCTGATTAATTATTTAGCCGAAATGGGGATTTTTACCTACAGAATACCATCTCTCGCCTGAGACTGTCGCTCTGAAGACAGGAACGTGCAGATTCTGTATGCATACGAGCTTCAGAATGGAACAAGGGGCTGTCGGTACGACCTATTGCCCCTTGGACCTTTTCTCTTCCGATGAGACGCGTGTTAGAAAAGCCTTAGGTGCTTTGTGGGCTGGGTGGTATGAGAGCAATGGGTCTCTCAATAACCTACGGTTCTTCGTCCAGGGCAGAATGACAAAACCAGATGATGTACGTCTTTAGTGCATCACGTTCTCAGATTTCTGATACATTGGGATAGGACCACTCGGTACAATTGTTGGCACACTTCTTCACGGCGGACGGATCGACTGACGTCCAGAACCTTCGGCAATCGTTCACATCCGTTCTTGCGCAGGCACTTCTTGACAGTCCCGTTCTTTCCCTCCTATCAACTTTACAACGAACACTGGATGTACTCGATGTAGAGGGCTTATCTAAGTTATACACACAAACATTACCAGATCTCCCATATAACGGTCTCGGGTCTTTGGTTCCCGATCCTTCCATGGAGGAATGGAAGGACTTCGTCAAAATCTACCACTCTGATTATCATTCCTGGAATCACACAGTTCCAAGTCCTCGACACCTCCGGCATTATCTCATGGCATACCTTCTTTCAGCGACGTTTAAGGATTGCTCCATTATCATCTGGCCCAAATCTACGCAGGTAGGCTCGTTTGATGTCACAATCATCGACATGGATATCAAGAGCATGGATCGCTTGGGGAAATGGGAAAGGTTAGACAGGAAAATCGTGGAGCATTACAAGAGTTCGGGCAGCCAGCGGCGTTGCATCGACAGTCAACGCGTTACTCAATTAGGATGTACACCTATGTGTTACTGCTCTCTCGCATCGAATGTTGCTTACAGATATATTTGAAGGACTGTAACCGAAGTGGCGTTATCAGACTGATTTCTGAGTACCTCTGGAGTATCTCTGGGATGAGTGATTTGTGTTTGGCATTTTTCTTTTCGTGACTGTAACTGATATTCATAGACCATACTGGCCGTGATGTATATCGACTCGAGTCCAGCTCGTACATGTCGATCAATGGCTATCAGGCTCAGACTCGACCAACAATCTGCTAGTTTTTCCAGTACCACTAAAGGTAAATGTTATGCTGTAGAGACTGTTGACAAGTCTTCTGCAGAGCTTGTTGGAGTCGTCGGAGAGCCGTTGGACCGGGGGTCCCAAGGGCAAGAGTCACGCACCAGGCCTCAGTCGGCCCTTTCCCGACGACAAGTCTGGGCTCTGTTTGCAAGAAATATCTTGAAAAATCCTGTGGGAAACATTATGTCAGCTTGTGTTCATGTCATCTGTCTGTGTCATCTTCACCGTACGTGGCGTGGTCATATCTTTCTGTCATCTGCCAGTGAAACCTTCACCCCTCGGTGCTCTATATGTCTCATCACCCCCATGTAAGTCATTCACCTTCCTGTTGATCACCCATTCACTTTCTGTTCTCTAGGACATTATTGAACAAGGAGCCTTCGCGCGTCTCTCATGTGGTGGACCAGGACATTTGTCCCCCTGCCACTGTTCATGATATTTGTGAATATTACGATGCACTTTATTATCCCCAATATCATCACACGATTTCTGCTACTGCTCAGACCTTCTGTGCCTGGCTGCTGAAGTCTCATGTCCCATCACCACTCCTGCTTGGTGTGTAGAAACCTGTTCACAGGATGCATATCGTTTGACAGCGTTCACATTGTTGTCACGTCCTCTGATGTATATCTCTTGCTGTCGCTTGGTGTTTTCGAGAGTGCAGGTTATCACCACTGTTCTGTCATGCGTCAACTCTCCCATAGTTCTCACCAAACTCTTTCTTTTGCTTGCCCGTTGGTACAGTATCCCCCCTGGCTTTGTTCTTCCTCACTTGGATGCTGTACTTCCTCTACTTTATCTGAGAGTATCTGACATGTTCCAGGTTTGTGTGTTGTCTGTTGCACCAAGCCCAACTTTGTCCCCACCATTTCCCACCATTTCCTCGAACTGTGTGCGACTCTCCTCATGAAGTCTGTGCCCGAAGTATTGAGTGAATTTGCACCAGTGAACCTTCTGGTTGAATGTGATCATCATTTTCTCCTGCTGCTCTCTGCTTTCTTTGAAAATGTTTATGGGCAAGCTTTCGTGACTGTTATTATTCGGAGGACATGGCATTTCAAGAGCAGGCAGGCTCACTCTAGCAAATACGTTGAACAGCCTTGAATTTAAAACAATGTCCACTAACTCATGTCAGATCTGACAGTGTTTGAGAGTCGAACCAAAGCTTAAGTTGAACCAAAACGGTGTTGGGCGTTGTCGGGAATTGGCGCATATGCGGTGTAGCACTTGAGCTTGCGCTAGGCTCATATTCAGTTATTTCATGATCCACGTCAAATGCCCATCACATGATAATCACTTCCCATTCAATCCTACACTTTGACTAGCGGACCCGACATTTCAGCCACAGCGGACCTGATATTTTCCTGCGCACTTGTCCTCTCCATGTCCCGTCCCATCTTGCTAGCCCCACTAGGTGCATAGTTGATTATTTCACACATTGCAGCAGGCACTATTACATGTTTTCCCATAAGTCCACAGCACCTCATGTTTATTTACATGTACTTCGGACCTGAAATATTCCGCAGCTACTTTTGCCTACAGGTTCTGCATTTCTACGTACTTACATATATATTGGACTGACCTTGAGCATTATTGATTATCCAATTAGTAGGGAGCCATTTCCTGATGCTTTGTGGTCAAACCCGATATTTCGTAGTTCTTAGTTGACATTGAGAATATTACTGCTCTTTCTATCCGAAATACCCATCATTTTCGATATCTCCGCATACCGCTCGCTTTCCCGACATTCGCTATCATTATTCCCTGTAATCTGCTGAACCCGCACCCGAAACCCGCTAGTCTGCTAACCTGAAAACATTGGAGCCAACGCTCTGGCATCAGACTCGTGATTATACCTTTGGACTTTGTTTCCCGCTGTCTTCTTAGATAGATGATCTATAGATAAACACCTATAAAACCAAATATCTCCACGGTCAGCGATTCAGACAAATACCAATGACTGATAACGTGGTCGTTCGTGGGTGGCTTGCCTTGCTCCTAAGATACAGTCAGTAGAATATGGCTCGCACAAAAAGTCAGTAGTCAGTGATCAGCAGTCAATAGTCAATCCAACAATATGGATATGAAACACAGCGATGAGAGAAAAACACAGAACTCGGTCAGTCAGCGATCGACAACAACAACAACAACAACAACAATCACAACAACACAGACAACAACAAAACAAATCAGGAAACACAGTCACTCTAACAATATAGAGATGACACAAAACAAACAGACACTCTTCCTAACACTTCACACAGCAACAAGGATTTGTACACAAACTTAGTGCAGCAAGTTGTGCAGAGTTACAATGAGAGTCCCCCTCAATACAAAAACAGGTGAAACTACCGTCAGGCCTAGTCAAGCCTTTGTAGCACTCTTAGCCTAATATTGAACCTGCTGCCAAGGAACTCACAATGAGTATTAAACAGACTCAGGAACGGGCGACCTTGGACTTCAATACCAAGTCCCCTTTTCAATAGCTAAAGTCTAACTCGCAAATGACTACCCTCGATCGGTATAACACACAGATGTAAGAGGTCAGGTATCACTGTCAACACCTAAAGTCTCCCCACTAGACTATCAGAGTCGTCCGTGGACAAAAGAGACAACACCAAACTTCTGGGTAAGAATGAGACTGAAACTTTGGTACTTGAGAGAAAGTTGATAGGTTGAGTCAATCAACAAAACGAGACCGCTACAACAAAGAAAACACGAACACGAACACGATCACGGAGACTGTTAGCAACAACGATCACAAAGCAAACAGACAGCGATCAGAGAGATGGTCAGTACAGTCAGTCACCAACACACCACACACTTGAGACAGAGAGAGAGAAACAGAAACAGAGAAACAGAGAAACAAAGAAACAGAGAGAAACAGAGAACACGAGCTTCAGTCACGAATCTCAGACACGATCTCAGAGAGAGAAAAAAAAGAAAAACAATCACAGAGAGATTCACAGACAGAGACACAGACAATGACACAAAAAGAAACAGAGAAATTCAGACAGACAATCAGGAGAAAACAGAAAAAGAAAGATTAGTCTTGCTAGTTGTCAGACACAGCGAGCTCAAGGTATGTGCTAGATGTTCAACACAATGAGCTCAGAAGTATTGTGCTGGTTGTTGAGCATGTGAGCTCCAACCTTGAACTGCACTTGCTGGTTGCCGATTCACACTTCACTCACAATTTTATTCTGAGAGGTAAAAACAGTGGGGAACTGCTTGTTTTATTGGGCAAAAAGCTGGTCCTTATATAGACAAATTTGGTGGCTATACTACTAGTTTCTCATACTTAAAGTTGTAACTTTAGTTCGATAGCACCAAGTCACACGGTATCTTTGAGTCAAAAGTAAATATTCATAACTCTAGTTAGTATAATGATGAGTCAGCAAGAGCTGCGTATGGATCATGTGTCAGGTGACCCTTGATGACTCAGCTAGACAAGAGTGAGAAATGATTACATATTGTGTACATATGTTTATAAAATCTGTGGCTGATGAATTGACTGGTAGCATAATGACATAGGACGCGTGTTTAGCGATTTGTAAGCTTTCCCACAGGGTAACCTTACACAAACATATTTTTCACAGTCACCTGATATGTGTGAGAATCTGCCTGAGTCACCCTCATGGCTGACTAAGCAAAACTCATCGCAGGAATAAATGTACAAAAATATTCAATCCGCCCGCGTACAAACTCATAAAAGTGAAAAAAAGCGAAAAATATTCCCTTAGCCTCAGTCTGACTTCAGGTCACAGGGAAAATGATTTCATAGTAATTCTAGGGCATAGGGGCTCATAGGAGAGTATCGGTCATCCATGCACCGAACCAGTTTGGTGCAGGTCACCGCGCTTCGGACTATCTTCCTTTTAGTATAACTGATTATTCTAATACCTTATAGCGAACCCCTCAGGTCGAACGCACTTGTCTTGCAAGTATAGCAGACTAGGCTGCACAAGACCACAACATTTTATATTGCTGGTTACTTACTTCATGTAGTGTCCAGCAATTGTTGTATCATTACAGTGGTGTTATGATTCCATAGCTTAGTCAGCATGTAGACTAGGTCTCTAGCATGTTGTCGCATAGCTTCACATCATTCCAGCTTGGTTGCTCAGTCTCTGGGCTGCGAGCCCCTCGGCCTGCTCCATCGTGGTGAACAGAATGAGCTTCGACTTGCCCTAGCATTGCGCTTTGCTTGTCATGTTGCGCTTTCCAGCTCGTTTTTTCTTGGGTTCCATGTGATGAAAAGAACAGTCCAACCATTTCTGGAACTAGTGGACTTTCAACTTGAGTTATCTTGCGCTCATCAATAGTTATGTCTCCTGTTTTCGACCTTGTTTATTCTACCATCGCAGTCTTGTAACCAGCAATCTATCTTGTTCCCTTCTATGGGATCATCATCAAAGCTATGCTGACATTAGGTCGAAAACAATCTTAAAGCCAGAAACTATTTTATTTGTCAACCCCTATCATGTCATCTACCACCAACTCACTTGACACTGACCAGAATATGGCCTCTCCTAACAATGGAGATGCACTGGCCTTGTTCCAACTCCTTGCACAGCTCATACAAGGACAGCAAGATGTTGGACAAGCAGTGACTCAAATTTTAAATCAGCCAGCACTAGCACCATGGACACAACCCACAGCACCTCCCAAGGCATCAGTTACAGAGCCTGACATCTATGATGGAAAATACAACACCTTCAATCCTGTTATGAGCCAGCTCTATCTATTGTTCTCTGCCAAACCAGCCGTCTATGTTGATGACCAGATGAAGATTATTACGGCCTTATCTTTTATGAAGAAAGGCTTTGCAGGAACTTAGGCGACCAATGTTACAAAGCAGTTGAGAGAGGGAACTGTTACATTCACAAGCTGGACAGCATTCAAGAGGAAGTTGAAAGAAGTGTTTGATGATCCAAATAAGAAGTGAGCTGCTCAAGTGAAGTTACATGCATTGAAGAAAAATACTAAACAATCTGCCAATGAATATTTCACAGAATTCGACCAACTTGCAACTCTTACAGGATTCAATGATGAAGCCCTGCTTGATGTTATACAACAGAACCTCGATAGACCAACCTTCAACACAATCATAGCAGCACCACAGGTTGATCAAACTCTGACGGCCTGGAGAGATTATGCCAAGAGGTATGATAGGAATAAGAGGGTGAATGAAAGGAATGAGGGAGAAGTCCAAAGTGGAAGAAAGCTTAGAGAAGGATGAGCAGGGCCAGGATAGATGAGACCTGGCAATATGATGGGAGGATGAGTTTATCTGAATATGGGAACCACTGGAATGACTGGCATAAGCACAAACACTGGGGGTCAAGCGGGTACAGGGAACACCACAGGGCGCAAACACACCTTTCCTGGATAAGGGGAACCTATGGATCTTGATCAGCAACATGGATAAGCTAGCCAACTCAAATGCTATAACTGTGGAGAGCCAGGGCATCTTGTTCGTGGTTGCCCTAAGCTGCAAGGCTGAAATACTATGAGGGCAGTCTTTGAAAGGTTATCAGAAGAGCAGAAGGAAGAAGTAGCAGAGATTTTAACTTACGAGAGAAACCTAAGGAGCAGCATGAGGATTTTTGAAGACATTAGAAGAAAAGGGTGCTAACTCACTAGTGGATTGTACGATAAGTGCTAAGTCAGTCAATGAAACATATGGTTTGGACTCCCAAGCACACAGCTCTATAGATCAATTGAAAAGCAAGTTGCAGAAGAAAAAATAAATGGAGAAAGAAGCAGAAACAGAAACCTAAAAAAGACGAAGTGAGTAAAAGATGGTTGGAAGATGAGGAAAAAAAGAAGAAAGGTTCTCTACTCTGGATCATCGAGATGCTTTGTTCAGATGATGAAAAGGCATTAAAGATACTGTGTCATTGTGTCATATCCTGTATTCCGGACTTACATCCGACAATATTCCCACGCTGTAGAAACAACAATACCGAGAGGAACTATACGAAGATGGCTCCAAACTGATATATTTGTGTTGTGGTCTTTGCACTGCCTAGTCTGCTATACTTGCCTGACAAGTGCGTTCGACCCAGGGGTCTGCGGTCTGGGAATAGTCTTGGGGGTAAGTGAGTGATGTGAGATCAATAGTCCGAGCGCGGGAAACAATGTCCAAAGGTATAATTACGATGTCCAATGCAAAAGCGTCGGGTCCGATGTTTTTGGGGTATCGGGGTATCGGGTTCGGGTTCGGGGTGTCGGAAACTAATAGTAACGCTATAGCGAGCGTCGGAAGAGCGAGCGGTGTGCGCAATAATAACAATGACTGATACGGATAATGAAAGAGCGATGATATTCGCAATATCAACTAAGAACTACGAAATGTCGGGTTTGACCACTAAGCGTCGGGGAACTGCTCCCCTCTACTTGGATAATGAATAATGCTCGAGGTCAGTCCAATATATATGTAAGTACGTAGAAATGCGGAACCCATAGGCGAAGATAGCGGCCGATGATTTCGGATCCGAAGTACATGTAAATAAACATGAGGCGCTGCGGACTATGGGAAAACATGTAATAGCGCTTGCTACGACGTGAGTAATGTGTGAAATAATGAACTACGCACCTAGTGGGGCTAGCAAGACAGGACAAGACACGGGAAGGACGAGTGCGCGGGAATTTGCATCGGCCGATGCGGCCTAAACGTCGGGTTGGCGGGTTAGCGTTGGATAACATCGGGAAGTGATTAGCATGTGACGGGTATTTGACGTGTACTGTGAAATAGCTCGATACGAGCCCAGCGCCAGCTCGTGTCCTACAACGCCTCATCCGGACCTTCGGACACCCTATCCATGTCTCCAGTCCTTTATCCATCCGGATCCCTGCACCTCTGCACATCCACATCCACATCCACATCCCTTTAACTCCATACCTCAGCTAGCCTGCATCAGTCATCCTTTGTCCCATCACCCTAATGTCATATCCCATATATCCACGTGTCTCATCCGGACGTCCGGTCCAATCCGATCCGATATACGATAAGCTTCCTAATTCAATTCCTGTGCATATAACGTTAACACAGCCTATTCCTCTATTCGGTATTCCTTGTCCTCGGTATCTCGGTTATACTTACTACCGGTATGCTTACTGATCCGTTAACCTATGCTTCATTTCCGACTCGCGCTTGATAACTTTGCTTATGCTTCATACATAGCCTCGGATGCTTGCTTACTGATCTTTCCGTTATTTCCTTAGTATATAAACTCTTGTATATGTCTTGTAGTTCCTCAGTCTGAATATCATATTAGTCCTCGCACTAGATCTCACTCTAAGTCCTCATATCAGTTCTAGTCTATCGACTTAGTCAATATCCATCTTGGGCCTAGGGAGAAATTCCCTAGGCCAGAGCTCCGCTTATCCGCTCATCCGCTTATCCGCTCATCCGCTTATCCGCTTATCCGCTTATCCGCTTATCCGCTCATCCGATCCTCCGAAGTTTCCGGACGTTCGTCCAAAACTTTCCTGCGGTCCTCCGGACCTATTCTGCTTCGGACTTTGTCCTTGCAGCCTTTCCTCTGTTTGCTTCTACTTAGGACAAGTCCTAAGTAGCCATTACATGTATCCATATCAGGACGAAACCTCATCGTGATTTCCGGAAGTTCCTCCAGAACTTTCCCGCACTCGTCCGGAAAGTCCTTCCGAACTTTCCCGCGCTTCGGATGTCCTTCGGACATCCTTGGACTTTCTTTGGACATCATTCTGAAATTAAGGGCACATACTCGGGTAAGGGGCGCAGCGCACAAGCTGAAGCCAAGCCCCTCAGAATCAGTCCTACCCTTTGTGCACGGTCTTAACACATTGGACAAATCATCAGTGTACCTCCAAAGTCAATATCAATCTCCTGCTTCAGCTTTAACAGCTTGCTCCAATCTAACAAAGAGAAGTTCTTCAGGAGCTAAAGCGTCCAGGAAGCTGGATCTGCAAAATCAATCAAAACTCAGTTGTCACATCAGTCATTGTCCGTACCCTTGATGATCAACACACCTTTGAGCTAAATGCTCTTTTGGATTGTGGTGCCACTGGCTGCTACATTAATGAAGGATTTGCATGAGAAAAAGGTCTCAATCTTGAACCACTCTCTCGACCCATCCCAGTCTATAATGCAGATAACTCACATAACGAAGGAGGTCCAATTCAATCGGTGGCAAAGATGTGTCTTCAAATACAAGACCACATTGAAGTTTTTAACTTTGCAGTAATGAACACTGGTGTAGAGACTGACATCTCTGTGGCCTCATAGAGGTCTAATTTCTGATGCATGTATCAATGCTAATCATTACCTGAATCATTCCCTATCATATCCGACTCAATATGCACTGAACCCAAAAACATCAGACATCAGACATCGCACTTCGGACATCAGACATCGGATATCAGACATCGGACATCAGACTTTGCACTTTGCACTTCGGACATCGGACATCAGACTATCGGACTTCACGTGTACTTGTCCTACCTATGTCCTGTCTCATTGCACTAGCCCCACTAGGTGCGTAGTTATTTGCTTTCCCATCGCTAACATTGTAGACCACATTATTACATGTCTGCAGCACCTCATGTCTTATTACATAGGACATTGGACCCGAAAATATTGCGCTACTGCTTTCGCCTATAGGGTTCCGGACTTCTATGTATCTACATAAATATTGGACTCCCCATAGCATCATTATCATCCAAGTAGAGGAGAGTCGTTCTCCGACACTTAGGGGTCAAACCCGATATCTCGTAGTTCTTAGTTGACATTGCGAATATCATCGTTCCTTCACCGCCCATATCCATCATTGTTATTATTGCGCATACCACTCACTTTCCCGATGCTCGCTATCGCATTACTATTAGTTTCCGACAACCTGAACCCGAACCCGAAACCCCGAAAACATCGGACCCGACGCTTTTGCATCGGACATCGTAATTATACCTTTGGACATTGTTTCCTGCACTCGGACTATTGACCCCACATCACTCACTGACCCCCAAAACTATTCCCAGACCGCAGACCCCTGGGTCGAACGCACTTGTCTCACAAAGTATAGCAGACTAGGCAGTGCAAGACCACAACATAAAGATATCAGTTTGGAGCCATCTTTGTATAGCCCCACTCTGTGTTGTATTTCTACACCGGCAAGACAGATCTTATTATTGGCTATGACTGGCTCTGCAAACATAATCCTTCCATTGACTGGCGCACTGGTAGTATCACCTTCAATTGTTGTCTGCTTGCATGTCACACCACACTCAGAGAGAGATTGTCTCAGGAACCAGAGGAAGAACCAAAAGGAAAATGACAGAAAGCTGTAAAGGTGGAAGAAGGAGACCACATTTTTGTCATGAAGTTTATGAGTGAAGGGGTTGAAGAGTGGCATTATTGGGAGCACTTGAAGGAGCAGATGAAAATATGAGCTGTGGAAACAAGCACCTCAAAAATATCATCAAAAAGCACCTTCACTTCAGAAGCAAAAAGTGCAAAGCATACAGCTTCAACTGACACAAGTTAGAGAAAAAAGGTTCAATCTCAGCTTTCCATAAATGTGAACTAACAACAAAATGTATCAGCAGATGAGATTGATGAAGCAATGAATGCAATAAAAGATCTCTTTCCTGAAGAACCCTAAGTGATGCAGGCGGAGAAACAGCAAGAACACACAGATGCTTGAATAGAAGACATGGAGTGCCACATTAATGAGATACTCTCAGCTCAGATGAACTGTACAGAAACTATTTAAGACATGATCATAAGACAAAGTACCAACATAAATGATACATCAAAATTTTCTGATTTGAATGAAGAGAGCAAGATAGAAGTGA